TGGCTCCTGCTCTGCCCGTGCGGGTGACCCAGGGCAGGACCGCGCCGGGGAGCGAGTCGGGGCCGTGAGCGCTGTCCGCTTGGGCCAATTCTATTTTGTTCGTGAGGCAAAAAGCAACAGGCTTCAGGCAGACTGAGGTCTTGCACAGGGTTTTTTCTCCGTTAAATCACCTAGAGCATGGCAGGATTTTGATTTCAGTAGCAAGTAGTGCTGTGACAGGTGTTGCGGGCCAGGCTCCAGGCAGATGGTGAGACACTGATCAGAAGGGAATCATCGTATGGCAGGATTAAAGCGTCTGCTGTAGCGGTATGAGCTGCAGAGACAACAATCAGCTGAGCTGTTTGAAAAGTATCTGCCCTAAACAAACTGCTCAGGCACGAGCAAATACTTCTTGCCACATGGCAGCCCCCCGCTTGAATTTTCTGCTGTGACAAACCCTTTAACACTGCAGCACTCTACAACCCTTAGGAGCTTCCAGCTCTTCTGCAACAATAAGAATTGGAAGTAATGGGCAGAACACTGCAAGAGGGACTTTTAAAGGCCAGCAGAAATATCAAAGCGGTAACACCTGCTGTGCTCGCTTCTTGCCAGGACAGGAAATAAAGTGACCAGCAGCCCGGGCCTGAAGGCTGTTGTTACCTGTTGCAGCCAGCTGTCGGGTCAGTGCCTGACCAGTGCTTGCACTGCACGTTGTAGGTGGGGACCCGTGTTGCAATCTGACCCTGTTTGCTAGAAAAATGATTTTGCAAGGTCTCCTGCAGGGAGGAAAAAAAAAATCCCAAACCAGGCAGCAGATGCATTTCCAAGCTCATTTGAAAGGGCACCATCCGAGCAGAGCAAAATTCAAAAGCAATGGCACAAGAGAAGAGGAATCAATGAAAACATGAATTCTCCATTTACTAAACCAGCACAACATACTTCCAGCATTTCCGCTCCTTCCCCGCACCTCCTCTAAGAGCTGCGGTTCTCGTGCTGGGACACTTCAGAATGACATTAGATTTGGCCTCTATCCTCTTAATGTCCCACTGGAAATTGTTTAGCTGACTTCCTTCCAAGATGCTAATCAGCTTTACAGTAAGCAAATCATGTATAATTAAAGACATGATCAGATCCCCCAAACCTACCACATACCATCTTTATCATCTGATGTAGGACTACGTACACCCAAAGCTCAGTCTTTCCTCCACACTGCAGTGAGTCATTTTTGAAAGGCCATAATTATAAAATTTCCATTCTCCCTCTGCATCTCCTCATTGCACAGGAAAAGAAGAACAAGCTAAAGCAACCGTATAGATTACTCAAACCTGAAATGCTAAAGTTATGTCTTTTTTTTTTTTTTTCTCCCTTTCTTGTTTTAGGTAGTTCCAAAGCATAAGTTTGTCCTTGTGAAATTCGACACACAATATCCTTATGGTGAGAAACAGGATGAGTTTAAAAAGCTGGCAGAGAGCTCAGGCTCCAGCGAGGATCTTCTGGTGGCTGAAGTGGGGATATCAGGTGAGGAACTCTGAACAGATTAGTACCATATGGGTTGGTGCGGAGGAAGTAAAATTCCCTGCAATTTCTGATGAAAACAGGCTCTGAGGTAATTCTGATAGTGAGAAATGAGATGGGCCCGGCCCTGTCAGACTGAAGCACTTGCGCTGGCTGGGCGCTGAGCCTCCCACTGTGAGTGTAGGAGTGCTGCTTATCTCCTTTCGGCTGGCTAATGAAGCAAGTCAGTGCATGCTGCTAAACTGGATGTCACCCTCCGCATTCATAGCACTTTTTGTCTTTTTATTTTGTTTGCTTTCTTTTTCAAGAGAAACCTTTTTCTTCCATTTCCAGGGAACAGGCCTTACAAGAACTGTGCTTTAGCCACAAGCTTGGTCAAACAAAGCAAACGTGATGCAATTAATTCATTGTAGCAAACTCTCAATTTATTGCTGGTAAAGCACAGAAAGCGGTCGTTGCAACGTGCTGTGTAACTTGATGTTCTTGTAATTGACTTTAAGAGAAAAGCAGTGAAGAATGGATCACTGTCACCTTACTCGCTCTGGCTTTGTAGGTAGAATTAAGAATTTAAGCTTACAGGCATTGTCAAACTGGGAAGTTTCACCCACACTGACAGCTCTAAACACACATGGATTTAGCTAAGTGGCATAGTTGAAATCTCTTTATGTTTTCTGTCCTCGGAAATAAATGCAATTTATGTAAGATGAGAAAACATCTTGCAGCTTGGCATGCTGTCAGAACTAAAATGTGTGATGTACACCTCGGGAAAAAAGTCTGTTTAACTGTAAAATCAAAATCAATGCATAGAGCAAAACAAGGAAAAAATGGCTATTTATTTCCCGTAAGGAGGACGGGGTTTGGATCTAGAGGTCCTGCCAATGCCTTACATTATCACAGTCACAGCAACGCACCATTAGAATCTTGTATTTTCCTTTGGAAAACCTAACAGTGGCTTGCCTTGCAGAAATTGTTTTCTGGGGTGGTTTTATTTCAGGGTATGGCATTTCCTGGAAAAGAGCTTATTAGGATGTGTTGAAACTCTGGAGACAAATATTTATCAGTTTGTGTAGGAGAGAATCCTAAATTAATTTTTTTCTTTTGATTAACATACTGTCCTTTTCTGTGTCTCATTTTCTCTTGACAGATTATGGTGATAAACTGAACACTGAGCTGGGAGACAAGTACAAGCTGGATAAGGAAAAGTTCCCTGTTTTTTACTTGTTCCAGGATGGTGACTTTGACAATCCCGTACCTTACAGCGGCCACATCAAGGCCGGGGCTATTCAGCGCTGGCTGAAGAGTAACGGCATCTACCTGGGGATGCCAGGCTGCCTGAAAGAGTACGACATGCTGGCCAGCAAGTTTGTGAGCACCGCTGAGAAATCAGAACGCCAGTCCCTCCTGAAAAAGGGGCAGGAGAGTTTAGAAAAAACAAAAGAAACCGAGAAGAAGTCAGCTGAGCAATACTTGAAAATTATGAGCAAGATGCTGGAGCAGGGAGAAGAGTTTGCTGCTAATGAAGTCGTCCGAATCACAAAACTGATCGAGAAGAACAAAATGAGTGATGGAAAAAAGGAGGAGCTCCAAAAAAGCCTCAATATCCTTGCTTCTTTCCTGAAGAAGAATAATGAAAAAGATGAGCTCTAATATGTTGGGGAACTTTCTACAAGCTGTGAAACACTGTCAAGAGTCCTAACCAGTTCTCCTTATGCAAGCAAACTTCCCGCTGACTTCAAGAGAGCAGCAGATTTCCTTCTGGTATTCTCAGTTTAGAAGATCAAGAGGAAGACATTCCTTAAAAACACAGTATTCTAAATGTTGGAAAAATCACCTTAAAGCAAGACGCCAATATTGTGTAATACTATTCAATAACAGTGTTAAAGTAGACAAAAAAAGCACTAGATTGGCCTGAAGCACATTCCTGGTGGTTTTTACAGCTGTTCCCTGGCAAACAAATAACAAAATTCAGTCTCACATTCCATCTTACATGTTGTAAATGGTACAAATCGGGTGCCCCTCGCATTCCCAGCTTTCCCTCGTCTTAGTGTCCTTAGGTTTTATGGTCTTTAATCTACCCCTCCTCCTATCTTTTGTTTTCCCAGTAGGGCTCCTTCTCCGAGTCTTGTTCTCCTTACCTGTTGTTGACTAAGAGACCCAGAATTTCCTTTTTCTGCCTTCTCCTTCAGCGGCTCCTGTCTCTGTTTGGCTTGGGTATCAGCCAAATGCTGGCAGGCATAGTGAAGACAGGTCCTCCACGTATCAGAACTTGCTCCTCGTCTTTTCGCTGGAGCAGCCGTTTCAGCAAACGTTCTCCCAAAATCTGTTGTGATACCCTGACAGAGCGAGTGATTTGAGCTCTGAGCAAGGGCAGAGTCTCCTTGAGGTGCTATTATACTTAGACTTGCCAGTTTCTGCAAAAACATTTTTTTTCAGAGGTGAATTTAAGTGAGTTTTCTTATGGCTGAAGAACAGGTACGATGCCTGTGTGTTTTGCCTGGCCTTCCTGTCCAAGCTTCATTTCCCAGGTTCAAAATAAGGGCGTGTGAGAGCAATAGGACATCTGAAAGTCTCAAGCCATGGTTAACATGAACACAGTATTTTCTCCAGCCTCGTCTTCAGAAGGGATTGGACAGTCAAACTAAAGCTTCATCAACATTTGGTAGTTTTAAGTATTTGAAAATGAGGTCTTGCAACAAGAAGAAGTGTTTGTGAAGCCCCCAAGAAGCAGAAGTGTTTGTGAAGCCCCAGAAGCCCCGTCTATACAATTTTAACAGAGATGCCTGGCCCAGGGATCAGGTCAGTCCTCAAGATGTGATACGGTATGTGCTGTTCATGCTGTGTGGAATTCAGATGGCCACTGGAAGATGCTGTACTCCTCATCAGGGTTAGAGTTGAGAAACACCTGTGCATCATGCCTTCAGACTACACTTTAAGCTAAGCAAAACTGATGTCTGTGGGAGCTCTGCTGCCTTTTGAATCCTGGGGTGGGTACAAGGAGCAGATATTGCTGCAAGATAAAATGTATTAATGATGCTATAATTAAAAAAAAAGTTCCAATTAATCAGTGCTTCTTAAACTGCTTTCTAGAGAAACTGCTGCTGATTTTGCAGTTAGAGGGGAAGGCAAAGGCTGATCAGGCAGACGATGCTGCCTAGATGCGAAAGGAATGTCCCGGAGATGAAGGTTTACACGAAGCGGTGGCAGGGTGTCCCTCGGGCCCGGCACTCGGGCCCGGCACCCGCTCCTCCGGAGGGGAGGAGGAGGAAGGACGGACCCCCGGGCAGGGCAGGCTCCAGGGGACGGTCCCTACGAGGCGCTTCCCGCCCGGCTCCTGAGGAGATGGCCGCTGGCTGGAGGAGCCCCGCGCGCCCCCT